TAAACTAATCTTGAAATCTGATGGGTTGTTATGTTTTACTGGCCCATTCTCATTGGCTGAGAAAAAGATGTGATTTAGAGCAAAAAATAGTGCGATTCATGAATAAATCGCACCATTGAGAGCCAATCAGATTGCAAGGATAACCAGTGATTTCAAAATGGATTTAATAAATTAGAAAACCGTTTCGAAATGTACTGTATTTTTCCGTTTACTTATGAAATTTAGTGTCTTCTTTTTTTTTCTACTCAATCTCTTGGCCAGTTGTAGTATTCTTAGGATTTGAATAGAGCTGAAATTTGTGAAGACCACATTTATACCATTTTAAAGTCAACGATTAAGTTATTTAAATTCGGTCTGTGATCTCTGTAATTTGTATTGCAACTATAGAACTAATTGAAAGTGACTTACGAAAATCCAGTTATCCTGACTGGTCACAGTTTGAGACTGGCTGAATCGCCTGTAAGCTGAGTGTTTGACTTCCATGTTCCTTGTGTGTTGGAATTATAGGATGCTCCATGCTCGGGTGTGAAAGATAAAAGAAAAAGAAGCTTTAGGATGCTTAAAACCGCTCGAGTAAACTTAGGGTTTAAGTTCAGGTTATAGACACATTATTAACTAGAAATTACTTAAAATCTTGTGTCTCGATCTTCGAAGTCTAAATATATTATATTTCACGGCATGAAAATTCCTAACCTTCTAGCCCTTCCCTTCGTCGAGACTTTCACCTACAGAGCCCTCTCCTCTCATGGAGGAGTAGATGAAAGAACCGAGGTTAACTGAACATAGATACTTTCACTTTCAAAAACGTCGTGCTGACAAGTGAGTTATCGCGAGTTGAAATAACAGAGAAACTGAACTAGTTCGAATGGTACTAGACTGAGGAGAAAGCTAGTTCATACGACAAAGAGAAAAATATTCGGAAAATGCAGTTAGATCGATGACGGTGGCTCCTGGCGAAATAACCTTCAAAAGACAAGCACGCAGCCTGAAGGAATCACAGTTACAAGGTCGACACGTGTGACTGACCTTACGATCTCTATCTATCAAACTTCCATGTCGAAAAATGTTTGCTTTGCAAAATCAATATTCGTTGCTCTCTTGGAGTTTAACGTGACAAGATGGAAAACATTTTCGCGCTATATAGCGAGCAGATTATTCGTAAAATTTTAATGATTTAATAATAGCTCCCAGCGAGTAAACATCCAAATGAAGCGTGACTCGACGTTTGGCCGAGTGAGCACAAGTCAACCCACTCGGCCCGAGGTCTCCCGATGAAAAAGCGTCGAGTGAAACAAGGACCGAGTCAGGGTAGTGAATGAGCCAATTCCAAATCAGGCATTACTCAATATTCAAAGAGACCGTGCTTCAGCTTAGTCAGTGTTACGTATAACATTGGGTGTCGTCGGCCGCCACAATTCACTCTAGCGCTGTTGTTACTGGCAAAGTCTTTACTTTGAGGAAATATGGGTATGATTAAGCGAAAGCCATTCATTTCAAGTGTCACTATTCTTGGTAAGTGATATTTAAATCAAGCCTGTGTTTCGAATATAATTTAACATACGGCATTATTATGATTCTGCAACTGAAGGAAGCATGTCTGATATATAGATCTATTCGAAAAGTGTTGTTAAGTGTAGAAGACAATCTGAAAGGAAGTAGAGGATAAGGTAGCACGCAGCCACAATTGCGGCAGACCTTGTCAACTTGTTTGATTGTATCCGATGAATCAAACAGCGAAACACTAGACGGCTTCAGTCAGACTTCGTGACAACTTTTAAAATTCACTGATATAAAAGCTTGGTTGGGAGTTTGAACAAGATGGTGAAAGGAACTTACTTATTCAGTGATCTACAGTCAGCCCGGCTATAGCGGAAATGTATTCAAAGTTCAAATCACGTGTCAGCTGTGGTGCTGAACAACCACAACACCTACAAAGTAGTACGTGTAGGATATGATCAAAATCCTGTATTACGCGGAAAATATGCAATATTTAATTCGGGGCTCACAAATTAAACATTGCACATTTTCCGCGAAACACAGGAGGTGCTTTCCATTATGCCAAAGATTCCGGAAATTCCGGTCGGAAGTCAAATGGAAAGGTCCGTTTCTGTTTCTGTCCGACAGGAATATTTGGGATCACCTCTGGAAGTGGTCCACTTATTTCGGTCGGAATATTCAGACCGAAATTCGCCGTTCCACTGTTGACAAATCGGTTCATTGCCCTACTTCTCTTCACTTATGTAGAGAATTCGGAAGAGGAATAAAAAAATGCATGGTAAGAGCTACTCGTCTTGGTTGGCACCCTATGCAATGCTTGATTTTGGGGCCAGCCAAGAGGAATGGCTCTTACCATTTTGCTTTCCATTATGCCAAACCGACCGGTCAGAGATCAGTGGGAATACCCAAGCAAAATGTAACGACATTTTCCGGTTAAGCAATGCCAATGGTTCGGGTAACAGCTACCGAGAAAACAATGGACAGGGTGAAGCGGGAACCGTTTGACTATCTAGGCTGATCCCAGTCGGTTTGGCATAATTAATTAAAGGCACCCTATGCAATGTTTGATTTGGGGCTCGCGTATGTGTCCGTGGGCACAAAATTAAGGATTGCACATTTTGCGAAACACAGGATCTTAGACATATCCCAATGGAGAGTTATAAGGTTGAGGAAGCTTATTTTAACAACTCAGTTTTGAAGGAACGGCATTTGGTCATCGCACCGTTAGACTGAAGTCTCTGAACATAAACTGACGATGAGTTTGCCTCGCTGCATGGTTCATTGTAGGACATCTTCTGGGTTGTCTGCGCTTTGAAGAGTCACGCCTGGTCGCATATGCACTGATTAGCTGAAATGTAAATTAAATGCCCGAAATGGTAAACGTCTGAAGAATGTCACGGTTTAATTTCAGGCCCAAATAGCACAATAAGCTAAGATGGTGGAGCCGAAATTTAGACGCTCCTACCAAAAAAGACTTACTGACAAGCTTTTCCGGGGAGACGGATCGTTTTTCGTTTTTTCACGTCCATAACAGGAAGTCATTTTCACAATTTTCTCGTTCTTTCAAGTAACCAGAAGTTCTCAAAGAGAAGTGAAGTGCGTCCTCCGCTAGAAACCGCCGAGTCGAGCACTGTCACGGTTATATTGGATCAAAAAGATGGGTATGAAATCATTAGGAATCTATTTCACAACACAACAAACTGTGCGTTTCTTGGGTTAGTGGGACAATACATTGAAAGTGAAAGTATCAAACTCGTGCTTTTATGTTGCACTATTTAAAGGAACAATCGAAATTGCTGGAAGCTACGAGAAGCGATAATCGGTCAAGGAGCATTTTTCATCCCGACGTATATTGAATTACAGTGAAACCTCTATTAAGCGGACCCCCAAGTAAGCGGACACCCTCTATGAAGCGGACACTTAGCCTGGTCCCGAAATTAACATCTTATATTTCCCTCTATAACGAACCTCTATTCAGTTGACACCTCTATTAAGCGGACACGGACACAGATTGTATTTGGCTATGAACTGACAATGTGGCATTGGATTACGTCCTTAAAACAGTCGATGAAATGTACCCGTATTATCGTTGCTGCATTGAAAGGGAATTATTACAAACAAATAAAAGTCGGTAATGAAAGCGGATGAACTTGAACTCTGGATAGATTCGTTAACAACATGGAACTTTATTACAATACAGAGAAACCGTTGAATGTTAATTGTTGACAAACATTGCGCATTTGTTATTACGCGGACACCCTCTATTAAGCGGACACTTAGGAAGGTCCCGAGGGTGTCCGCTTAATAGAGGTTTCACTGTACTTTCGTACATATATTAAAATGTAACTGTTGCGGGCCCGAGACGTTTTGACTCGTTCAGAACTTTTGAGACATTCAGGTTCTGAGAAGTTCAGACGTCATTTATTTAAAAAAATCAGTACTTCCCCGCGGGAGAAGATTGCGCGCGTGACGAGGCTACTTAGCTTGCTGGCTAGCTGGCTAATTGACTAACTGGTTCACTTACTGTGCTATGTATTGCTCTCTGGTTGCAGTTGTCGCGCTTTTCTTTGGGAAAGGATCTTGTGACTCAAGTAAGTTGTGAATTGGAAAGTCTTTAATGCCAAATCTACCGTAGGAAAAAAGATGGCGCCTGTACATTTTACCACAATGCGTTGCGAACCTAACACAGCCTACAAGGCACAAAGAAATCGAAATTTTTACAATGTCTGTCCCTGTACTAAGGACATTGAGTAGCCTAGGTTTGAGGATTTTATAACTTTTCTGTACGCTTTTATGAACGTTATTAAGGTTTTTGTGCGCTAAAAACTATGGGTAAATGTACCAGTCGCCATCTTTTTTCCTACGGAGGATTACTAAAGAACTCCTTGCACGCATTAATTATCATACAAGCTGGAAGGATTTGATGCTGTATTACGCTTTTTAAGGGCAAACATACAAATTATCCTTACTAGTCTCAATACAGTTAGTTTTGTACTAGTTGAGGCAGTTCAGGCAATGATGATGATGATGACTTTGATACATAATCACAAAGCTATTTTGAAATACCCATATCTTTATAGATAGGAAGTTTACGGAATCACAGTAAATTGTTACGAGTCAGGAGCCCATCACAAAGAGCGTGTAACTACCCCATATTCCTGTCACCCTGTCACGGCGTTTTCACTGAACGATCTACTTTTAGTTTGAATTTACCGCAAATTCAGACCCCCGCAGGAACCACAGTGACGAATCACAAGCACGGACTAAATCCTTAACTGACTTCAAGCCATTTTTTCCTTACCGATGCCCGCTCATGTAGACCGGAACTGACCTATTTCGCGGGAAAAGAAGCCTAAAAATAGACTGGTCTGTAAAAGTGCCGTGACATAGGCTTAGTATGGGAGTTGAACGCTCCTATGGGCTTTTGTACGAGTTGAACTGTATTTTTAAAGACCTTTCTGAATCAAAACAATTCAAATAAAGACTCAACGCTGGGAACTGTACGTTCATTTTTTGGTGGCTAGATCCACAAATAATGATAGATATATATGTTTGCTTTTTTTTTTCTGTTTTCAACAGTATGCCCTGATGGCATTACAAACATCACAGCCTCGAAAGGCGTTATCGCGTATCCCGAGTCAGGTACTTATGGTATCAACGAGACAAAATGTTGGAGGATTGAAGTTCCCGAGACTTATCGCCGCATATATTGGACTTTTAGCAGGCAAGCTAGTCCATGTTGTTCTTTTCTGCATGTACCTTTATTGAAGCAAAAACGGAGACACATTGTTGGGTATGGGCGCGAAAACATTGGGCTCGAGTGTTGGAGACCCGTTTGCTCCCCTACCTCCACCCCCCACCCCTCAACTTGCATATATATTGACGTTTATCCCTGACACTGCTTCGCGGTATCTCGATAGAGTTCAGGTATACTGGCTGAACTTTAAAAGGGACGGCGTAAAGCCTACCAGCAAAACATTCCCCCCTCAGTTTGAGTACACTACCAGCAAGCCTCTTTCTCGTTCTCGCACAGCTAGTTACCTTTCGCGCGTTTTCGTTTGTGTCACACTCGACGGACTATTTAACAATTATTCCACGAGCTTGCGTTGGGTATGAGTTGGCTGTAATCATCTCATATCCGACAAGCGCGAGGGGATAATTTTGTTTTATTAAAAACGCCCCCAAAAAATAGAAAACCACACAAAAATAAGAACGCCCAAAACATCACGTGTACGCTTACCATATTTGTAGAGCATGGTACAATTGTTGATAACTCATGATGGCTAAGCCAATGAAATCTCTCGAATTGCATTATCCAATGATCCAGTTTTTATTAAAAATAAAACCTATAAGGCCGGCGTTTAAAATATCAATTAGGGAGCACTAAACACCAGTTTCAGTCGAATTACAGCTACTAAAAAACTCGACTCATCTATGTCCCCAGGTATGACATCGAAAAATGTGAATCTTGTGAGTGCGACTCGCTGAGGATTTCTTCATCTTACGATAGTTTGAAGTATGTTGGAAGTTGTGGGCGATTCAGCGACGGCTATTTGGAGTATCAACGTCTTGTGGGAGATCCAAAGGATGGCTCGTCAAGTAGTACGACGGCATACATTCGTTTTGCATCGGATGAAACCGTTCATCACAAGGGATTTAACTTGACGTTTATTGCTCAGTCCTATACTGGTAAGTATTGTTGAGAACTAACCATTAGATTAGGAGCTTTGAGGTTTCAATCGCGCAGCCCGGGAGCGAACAATCTAATTGTTTTTCAGTAAATCTGCTAGTCGTTCAAAACTTGATCTAAAGGCTCTTCACAGACACCTCAAAAACGCAAAGAGTAGATGGTGAGTAGTGTAGCCAATGATAGAACGCTAGAAGATTTATACTAATCCCCTATACTGGTTTCTTTGCCAACGTAATTCCACTGAAGGTATCTATAGATCTGGATCCAGGCCTCCCGCACGTTACGTAAACAGATGTTTTCGTGGAGAATGAGAATGCATGTAAAGCTGCTTGAGCTGTCCACGAGATTGAAATTCATGTCACATGATTGGCTACTTCTAGACCATCCTCTGATTACTGAAGGCGGAAGTGATGTAAAAACAACTTACTCTTACTCTTCTCTTGATAAAACGTGGTCATTTGCATTTTTCATTTAAGAAATACAAAACATATTCGGAGAAAAAAAATAACAACAATAATATTTACTCTCCTTCATTTCAAAACTACATGTTATTTGGCCCACGGATAGCAAGTGCTAATCTAGGCGGGCCATTAATCGCTTTTGCATATAACTAGATTAATTAAATAACGTGTTTCTATCGAGTTTTAGAAAAAAGATTTTAAACCAATTAGCGCGCGTATTGTCTTTGGGCCATTTTCTCATAAACAATTAGATTATGAGCTCGAGATTTCTATCGCGTGATAGTTGACCAGGGCGCAGCCCGAGTCAACTATGACGCATAGAAATCGAGAGCGAATCTACTAGTCGTCAAAAAATTAATTAAAATCCTCTTCACAGACACTTCGAAAACACCAAGCAGCGGCCGTCATTTTGTTAACAAGGGTACACTGCTACGCTACTCACTATCTATCACAGAATAAATAGTGAGTAACGCAGGCAATCAGAGAACGGCATTCGTGATAGAACGCTAGTAGATTTAAACCATAATAAGTGATAAAGACTGTTCCACTCCATACACAGGAGGGAGAACGTCCTACCTGAACGCAACTGAAGATGAAACCATTGAGTTTGGGACACCGAAAGCTGACATTAAAAACTATCGCTCTGGTTCCGAGTACGAGTGGTTTTTAATTGTCCCTGAAGGGCGACAGGTCCAGATAGACTTCGGCATTTTCCAACTGGAGGAGAGTGAGAACTGCAAAAACGACTACGTTGAGTTCCGTGAAGCCGCCATTGATAAGAGAGACCCAGGAGATCTAGAAGGATACCGTGGTCCAATCCTGACCGGACGCCTGTGCGGCAATAGAAAGCCGAACACCATACAGAGCACTGGGAACATGGTTTGGGTGCACTTCGAGAGTGACTACAACTCTACCACTGTCTACAAAGGATTCAAAGCCTCATTTAAAGCAGGTGCGTGATATCCCAGTGTCATACAGTACAGGAGGCAGCGCGGAAGGAGCTGTTTCTCAGTAGACCCTAGGTCAAGTTCCCTCGGTCATGTTTGTAAATAGCCAACTGGTCTTCCCCCACCAGTTGGGTGGCATGCCTGTGAACTAGCTAAGTGTAGCCAAGCGCCTTGGCCACTACAAACAACAACATTGGAACATTTGAACGAATCATAATTATTCTTAAGATTCACAGCAAAAGGTTTAGTGTTCTTTTCTGGACAACTCACTCAGTAGCTTCCCATGCAATCACTCTTTTGGCTGTTTTTAATGATGTTTTTAATTCATTAACTTTGTTGTGTTTTCAGGTCAGGGAGGATTGTCAGTCAGGAATCCCATGGCACTTCTTTTCCTTTCAACTTTGTTCATGATTGCTTCTGTAGACGGTCTGTTCTAAAATCTGAATTCTCCGGTTAGCTTCGAGTGCGTTCCAAGTTATTAACTATAACACGAACGTTTTAGCTTTTTAAAAACTTAGACAGTAATTTTCTCCACACTTGCCGCAAATTTATAACAATAACATTTTTAAAAACAAAAAATTTCGATAGTGCCTGTGTTTAATTATGTGTTCCCACAGCTCCGAAATTTCAAATGACAGGTTTAGTCGGCAGTTAGATCGCTTTCAACAAGCTAGTTAAGTGTGACGTTTTAATGTATAAAGTTCTCTTTTAATGGGATGGTTTGGTTTCTTTGATCAAGCATGGTTTTTCGTGTTTCCACGCAAGTTGAGATAACATAAGTCATAAGCTTTATTAAATTATTCATGTTCGGAAAATGCAATAACTGACCTGTGTTACATAAACTTTTGGGGGGCGGGGGGGGGGAGGGACGGGATGTACGGTGTTTGTGTCTTCAATCAAGCAACAAGTTTATCAATGTGAACACGTTGGACGAGGTTGCGTTCCATATTAGAGTCAGAGGCTCATGTAGAAAACGCTGTTCAATTAATTTTCAAAAGAAATGGTTAGTTCAGTTTTTAATCTGTGGTATTACGTTAGTTGTTATGTGGTTTTTCAAGTCGCGTACAAAAATACCCTGAAAACAAAATCGTATTCAAAGTAATACAGCCTCCTGAAAATCATTTTGGTGATTTGAAAACAAGATCTGCCAGGCGTTCCAATTTCGTCTCTCTCTTATCAAGCCCTGCCCTTCTTCCTTACCCGGCCTTCGGTAACCAAGGGCAACGGTGCCTGGAGACCAACCAAAACCGAACAAGTTAATTTCATTGACCACTTGCAAGACAAAATTATGGCGTGTACCGGACACAGCTGAAAGTGAAAGTGAAGTGAAGGTGAAAGACTTTATTTAATGAGGGTGACCCGTGACAGTAACTTAAGTTACTGATAAACTTGGGGCCCTCAGCTTAAAATACATACAGTGAAACCTGTATTAAGCGGACACGGTTGGGACCCCCATTAGTGTCCGCTTAATACAGGGTGTCCGCTCAAAAAAGGTTCTAATATGTTGTGCAATAAAAGTTAATTATTAACCCTTTTGTAACATAGTGTAACACAGTGTGAGATCAAAGACTGCTCAAAGCACAATGTCCAATCAGTTAATGTATCAATCTGGAATAATCACTTAGCTTTAAAACGACATCGCTGAACAATGTTAAAGGAGTCTCAGCTGAACTCTTAGAGGTAAAATGCCCTTGAGTGTCCGCTTACTGCAGGTTTTGTGCGACAATTAAGAAATAGAAAACATGTACCGTGTTTCTATCGAGTTATAGAAACACGAGTGGAAGTTTGGTTTAACGAGAAATGCTGTGGGAACACGAGCCGCAGGTGAGTGTTTCCACAGCTTTTTCGAGTTCTCCCAAACTTTCACAAGTGTTTCTATAACGCGATAGAAACACGGAGAACATGTTTTCTATTTCTTTTAGAAAACACCGCGACGAAGAAAAGGAAAACAACTTATTAACTTTGATTATCAAAATATAAATTCTCTTTACTCGCGCCATCATTACGTCAACAGCTTGGGCTAGTTCTGTGTTTCTATCGAGTTATAGAAACATGGTTTTTAACCAATCAGCGCGCGTATTTTCTTAGGACTGTTACCTAATTAAAATGGCTTAATTGGTGTCCGCGTCCGCTTAACAGAGGTGTTCGCTGAATGCAGGTTTAATTTGCTGCAAATGTAGGAAGAAAATTTAGGGACTCAAACTGGTGTCCACTTAAAAGAGGGTGTCCGCTTAAAACCGGTTTCACTGCACAGCTATCTTTGCTTTTTTTTCTTCTATGTTGCAACGGAAACTGAGGAATCGCAAAAGGTTGAAAAAGAAAATTAGATGGCGAGCTTGTTTTTCTGAATTCAAACATTGTGCGAAGAAGGGCAACACGCTATATATCTAAGGGATATTTATCACATTTATTACCCAAGTGTTTAAGAATGGTTTAATTGTAATGTGACATGTATACAAGAAAGGTGTTGAAAATAGGCAGTTATCATACATGAAAGAATGTAAATTTTGTATATTTGGTTATTTAAGTAACGAAGCTTTGCAGGCAGAATGTCAGACTTTACTGTCCAATAGTCCAAGGCAAAATCGCTGTCCACACATTTATAACTGAGTGTCTGAAGACATAATTTACCACACTTCAGAAACGAGAAACCATACGGGACGAGTAAGATCTCGTAATCCCTTGTGGACCGTCGCATAGGCGGGGGGG